GGAGGAGAGATTTCCCCTCCCCCACCACGACCCAGAGAAGCCCCATAGGCTTGTGACCTTTAGGGCCCGCGGATGCACCCCCACCTCCCGCTACGCCCCCATCTCCCAAGCCAGCCGAGGTCCCCTCACCCGTGGAGGAGGGGGAGGGCGGGGTCTGAGAAGGGGCGGGGCCGGGTGGGTCCCAGGCCGCCCCAACCCCAGCCTCTGCCCCCGCGATCGCCAGCGCTGCCAGCAATGCAAAGGGTACACCCGGGCGTGCACCCTAGCTGCGGCCTGTGCGGTGCTCAGCTGCGGCGCATTCCCTCCCTTTGCCTTTTTTTGGACAATTAGGTGTTACAGGGGTCGTGGCCAGTGCTTACAAATAACTCCCCCGTTTGGGGACAAAACCATAAATACTGGGCACCTGCCGCGTCTCCTCAGTTTCCCTAATCCTCAGGCAGCCCTGCCAGGTGTTCTGCTTACCCCTTGGAGGACAACACGGGACCGGGATCAGAAGGGGGAGGGGTTTGGCCGTGGCAGGTGCGGGTCAGAGCCCGTATCTAAACCTGGGTGTTTTCTGGCCTTGGGGACCGCGTCAGGCGCCCTCGCTGAAACATTTCCTCATACAGGGTTTCACGGGTTTGCCAGAACAACTTTAAAACGAACGATTGGAACGTTTAGGATTCCTTACGTCCTTAGCGCCTCTGCACCTTTTCAGGGGCACCTGTAGCTGTTACTGTATTCTGTCTCCAGTTTTCTCACCTGCATTTTGATCCCACCTGCACTGTAGCTCTGGGACGACTACAGCTCTTCTCGAACCACGCCTTTTTAATTTTTAAAAAATTTTTTGTAGGGAGGGCCGCGGGTGGGGGCTCTCTTGCTCTGTCACCAGGCTGCGTGAAGTGACACAATCATTGCTCAATGCAGCCTTGACCTCCTGGGCTCAAGTCATCATTCCCACCTCAGCCTCCTCAGTAGCTGGTACCACAGGCACACGCCACCATGCCCAGCTAAGTTTTAAAAATTTTTATATAGGATCTTGCTATGTTGCCCAGGCCAGTCTCAAACTCCTGACCTCAAGCAATCCTTTTGCCTTGGCCCCCCAAAGTGCTGGGATTACAGGTGTGAGCCCCTGTACCTGGCCTTTTTATTTTTAAAAAAGGAATCATATATATATATATATATGTATATTATGGGCCGA